GAGTAAGGAGTTGTTAGTAAGGAGTTGTTAGTGAGTAAGGAGTTGTTAGTGAGTAAGGAGTTGTTAGTAAGGAGTTGTTAGTGAGCAAGGAGTTGTTAGTAAGGAGTTGTTAGTGAGTAAGGAGTTGTTAGTGAGTAAGGAGTTGTTAGTAAGGAGTTGTTAGTGAGTAAGGAGTTGTTAGTAAGGAGTTGTTAGCGAGTAAGGAGTTGTTTGTGAGTAAGGAGTTGTTAGTAAGGAGTTGTTAGTAAGGAGTTGTTAGTGAGTAAAGAGTTGTTAGTAAGGAGTTGTTAGTAAGGAGTTGTTAGTGAGTAAGGAGTTGTTAGTAAGGCATTGTTAGTGAGTAAGGAGTTGTTAGTGAGTAAGTAGTTGTTAGTAAGGAGTTGTTAGTGAGTAAGGAGTTGTTAGTAAGGAGTTGTTAGCGAGTAAGGAGTTGTTTGTGAGTAAGGAGTTGTTAGTAAGGAGTTGTTAGTAAGGAGTTGTTAGTGAGTAAAGAGTTGTTAGTAAGGAGTTGTTAGTAAGGAGTTGTTAGCGAGTAAGGAGTTTTGATTTAAAGCTTTCGTGACTGCAGTAATTCATATTCTTAGCTCTTTCGGTAAAGTCACGTTGAAGGGAAACAATAAAATGTACAAAACAATAAAAATTCTCACGACGTTTCGACTGCAACACAAGCAATCATCATCAGGTGTGAAAACCACAGCAAGAAAATTTGAAAAAAGTGGCGGTTATTTTTAACGTTAGCACCACGGAGAGCGATTTGGCAGTTTGTTCAGATGGACGAGTCCATCTATGTTCGGAAAAGAGGAGGGGGGAGACGAAAATAATGGATGCGGTCTGAAAGCCACCTTAAGTGTGAACAATCAATTAAGACCCGAAATGGTTTATTAAATCCTTCCAATGATTGCTAAGCCAGAATCCATCTTCTCGGTTGAAATTGTCTCTGTGTTTGTATATGTGGATAGCATCATGAACGAATCTCTCATGGTAGCCAGATGGCTTGCAAAGAACCTCCGTCTTGGAGAAGTCAATGTCATGTGAACCTACTGAATTATAACAGTGATCTGCCACGGCCGAGGTATTGGTCCTACCGTGTTTTAGGTCTGCTTTGTGTTCACGGATGCGGTCCGAGACATGTCGTTTGGTTTCTACAATGTAGCTGCTACCACAGAGGCAGATTTTATGTAATGTGTTGAATCGGACCTGGATCTTGTGTTTATTTTGGAGATCTTTTTTGTGATCCCCGCAATGTAGGGTAAAGTGATGGTTTTGAAAGGCTCTTAAAGAGGGTCTCTTTCTTCACGGTTGGAGTGATAGCTTTGCGGATTGTTTAGTCGGAGTAACCATTAGCCTTAAGAGCTTGAACCTGGGCCATCACGAATGACAGCTCAACAAAGTGGCGGCTTGTCACCATCGTCATCATCACCACCACGTGGACATTCGTAGCAGCTGCCAAATGCTCTACAACGCACGCGACGTCGATTCTAAATGTGGGGGGGGGGGGGGACACCGGAGGGCCCGGAGACAAATCCACGCAGTACCACGGGGAGAGAGAGACACGCACACTCCAAATATACAGCAGCAGGCGTCAGGGTCGTGATTGAACCCACGACCTCCTGTAGACCAGGCGAGGTAGTCAACATCTCACCACGGAGAGAGAGAGAGACACGCAGACTCCAAATATACAGCAGGCGACAGGGTCGGGATTGAACCCACGACCTCCTGTAGACCAGGCGAGGTAGTTAACATCTCACCACAGAGAGAGAGACACACACAGACTCCAAATATACAGCAGGCGTCAGGGTCGGGATTGAACCCACGACCTCCTGTAGACCAGGCGAGGTAGTTAACATCTCACCACAGAGAGAGAGAGACACACAGACTCCAAATATACAGCAGGCGTCAGGGTCGGGATTGAACCCACGACCTCCTGTATACCAGGCGAGGTAGTTAACATCTCACGACGGGGAGAGAGAGAGACACACAGACTCCAAATATACAGCAGGCGTCAGGGTCTGCATCAAACCCACGACCTCCTGTAGACCAGGCGAGGTAGTTAACATCTCACCACGGAGAGAGAGAGACACGCAGACTCCAAATATACAACAGCAGACGTCAGGGTCTGCATCAAACCCACGACCTCCTGTAGACCAGGCGAGGTAGTTAACATCTCACCACAGAGAGAGAGAGAGACACGCAAACTCCCAAATATACAGCAGCAGGCGTCAGGGTCTGCATCAAACCCACGACCTCCTGTAGACCAGGCGAGGTAGTTAACGTCTCCTAGACATCGAGGGGGGTCCTGCCAAGTTTGCACAGTGAGGGGGGGGGGGGGGAGAGGGGGAGCGATTCTGCTGCCGTGAGGTCCCAACTCAGTGATTTGCAGGGGGCATTTCTTGTTCAGCATTGATTTCGGGGATGTGCTTTTGGCCAATAGCAGTTCCACTGTGGGTGTGTGTTTGGCTATGGGAGGAAACCCATTGCCGACCAGGGGGAGAGAGAACGCAACAGACTACGCACAGGAAGGTGCCCGAGTTGGGAATCGAACCCAGGTGATGATAGCTGTTGTGATAGTGGTGGCTTTAACGATGCTCATGTTGATGTTGTTGGTGCTGATGATGTTGACGACGACGATGGTAACAGTGATGTTGACGATGTTAATGACGCTGATGATGTTGATGATAATGATGTTAGCCATAATACAGGTTTTTGGGGAGGGTGGTTAGATCACGTGAATATATAAATGTTGTGTCGTTAAACCCGCCACCACCCGACACAGCCAACTAGTAAGGAGTTTGTCACGTATACAGAGCATGACAATTTAGTTACTAGTACAGCACTAGTGTATAGTGTAGTGTATAGTGTATTGTATAGTGTAGTATACCAGTACAGTACTAGTGTGTAGTGCAGTGTATAGTGTAGTATACTAGTACAGCACTAGTGTATAGTGTAGTGTATAGTGTAGTGTAGAGTGTAGTGTATAGTGCAGTGTATAGTGTAGTGTACTAGTACAGCACTAGTGTATAGTGTAGTGTATAGTTTAGTGTACTAGTACAGCACTAGTGTATAGTGTAGTGTATAGTGTAGTGTATAGTGTAGTGTATAGTGTAGTGTACTAGTACAGCACTAGTGTATAGTGTAGTATTGTATAGTGTAGTATATAGTGTAGTATATAGTGTAGTGTACTAGTACAGCACTAGTGTATAGTGTAGTGTATAGTGTATTGTATAGTGTAGTATACCAGTACAGTACTAGTGTGTAGTGCAGTGTATAGTGTAGTATACTAGTACAGCACTAGTGTATAGTATATTGTATAGTGTAGTATACCAGTACAGTACTAGTGTATAGTGTAGTGTATAGTGTAGTGTACTAGTACAGCACTAGTGTATAGTGTAGTGTATAGTGTAGTGTATAGTGTAGTATACTAGTACAGCACTAGTGTATAGTGTAGTGTATAGTGTAGTATACTAGTACAGCACTAGTGTATAGTGTAGTGTATAGTGTAGTATACTAGTACAGCACTAGTGTATAGCGTAGTGTATAGTGTAGTATATAGTGTAGTATACTAGTACACTAGAGTATAGTGCAGTGTATAGTGTAGTATACTACTACACTAGAGTATAGTGTAGTAGTATACTAGTACAGCACTAGTGTATAGTGTAGTGTATAGTGTAGTATATAGTGTAGTATACTAGTACACTAGAGTATTGTGCAGTGTATAGTGTAATATACTAGTACACTAGAGTATAGTGTAGTATACTAGTACACTAGAGTATAGTGTAGTATACTAGTACACTAGAGTATAGTGTAGTATACTAGTACACTAGAGTAAAGTGTAGTATACTAGTACACTAGAGTATAGTGTAGTATACTAGTACACTAGAGTATAGTGTAGTATACTAGTACACTAGAGTATAGTGTAGTATACTAGTACACTAGAGTATAGTGTAGTATACTAGTACACTAGAGTATAGTGTAGTATACTAGTACACTAGAGTATAGTGTAGTATACTAGTACACTAGTGTATAGTGCAGTATACTAGTACAGCACTAGTGTATAGTAGTAGTGTATAGTGTAGTGTATAGTGTAGTGTATAGTAGTAGTGTATAGTGTAGTATACTAGTACACTAGTGTATAGTGCAGTATACTAGTACAGCACTAGTGTATAGTAGTAGTGTATAGTGTAGTGTAGTATACTAGTACAGCACAGTTGTGTGTTGTAGTCCACAACATTTACAATCTGAGTACTCAAATCTGAGGACAAACCTCGCTAGTTGGCTGTGTCGGGTGGTGGCGGGTTTCACGACACACATCTATATATTCACACAATCTCACCCCCCCAAAACACCTCGATTATGGGTTACATTGGGCGCAAAAGCCGACTACGTGTTAAACTGATGATGATGCTGATGATGTTAATGATGATGATGATGCTGATGATGTTAATGATGATGATGCTGATGATGTTAATGATGATGATGCTGATGATGTTAATGATGATGAAGTTAATGATGATGATGCTGATGATGTTGATGATGATGCTGATGATGCTGATGATGTTAATGATGATGATGTTGATGATGCTAATGATGTTAATGATGATGATGCTGATGATGTTAATGATGATGATGATGCTGATGATGTTAATGATGATGATGCTGATGATGTTAATGATGATGATGCTGATGATGTTAATGATGATGATGATGATGATGCTGATGATGATGATGATGCTGATGATGTTAATGATGATGATGCTGATGATGTTAATGATGATGATGCTGATGTTAATGATGATGATGATGCTGATGATGTTAATGATGATGATGATGCTGATGATGTTGATGATGCTGATGATGTTAATGATGATGCTGATGACGTTAATGATGATGATGCTGATGACGATGGTTGCGCAGGGATCATCCCGTGGAACGTCAGCACAGGGCGGCTGTGCGACGCTGACCTGGCCAATCTCTGCAACTCACAGACGGTGAACACCCACAAAGACAAAGCCCCCTCCCCCCGTGTAGCCCACACACGGTGGGGGGGCAAGTGCTGTGAGCCAGTGCCCGATTATCGGAATTTCACTACACACATATATAGTACACATGTCATGTAGTAGCTACTATATAGTACACATACTACTATAGTAGTAGGTGTAGCTACTACACATACTACTATATAGTAGCTACTACACATACTACTGTATAGTAGCTACTACACATACTACTATATAGTACACATACTACTATAGTAGTATGTGTACTATATAGTAGCTACTACACATACTACTATATAGTAGCTACTACACATACTACTATATAGTACACATACTACTATAGTAGTATGTGTACTATATAGTAGCTACTACACATACTACTATATAGTAGCTACTACACATACTACTATATAGTATGTGTGCTATATAGTAGTATACTATAGTAGTATATAGTATGTGTACTATATAGTATTATACTATATAGTAGTATATATAGTAACTACTATAGTAGTTACTATATATACTAGCTACTATATAGCTACTATATAGTAGCTACTACACATACTGCTATATAGTACACATACTACTATAGTAGTATGTGTACTATATAGTAGCTACTACACATACTACTATATAGTATGTGTAGTAGTAGCTACTACACGTGTAGTAGCAGCTACACGTGTAGTAGTAGCTACTACACGTGTAGTAGTAGCTACTACACGTGTAGTAGCAGCTACTACACGTGTAGTAGCTGCTACTACACGTGTAGTAGCAGCTACTACACGTGTAGTAGCAGCTACTACACGTGTAGTAGCTGCTACTACACGTGTAGCTGCGCTCTGAACCCGGCGACCCGAGTTCGATTCCCGCTCACGACCAACGTCACCGGTGACGATTTTCTGAAACGGTCATGGGCCTCCCCTAGGTCGACTCAGCCTCAAATGAGTACCTGGTGTGGCGTGCAGTAAACATCGCCACTGGGGAGACAAAGGCGGCCGGGCGCGGTGCTGGCCACCCACCCCCTCGTGCGCCGTGCCGGCCTTCGTAGGCGCTCGCTGCTCGCTGACAGCACTTGCCCCGACAAGTCTGTTAAGGCTACACGGGGGATCTTTGTCTTTGTGTTCTCAGTTCAAGCTCACCTACAGCCTCTACATCGTGGCATGTGCCGGTGCTGCAGCGACTGTCATCGCCATGGTAACGGCCCCCACCGCCTCTCCAGCCCCCCACGGACCCCCAATTCCTAACCCCCTTCGCCCCCCACTGAGGCCCCAACCTCGGGCACCCTCCACTCCACATTCCCACCCCGCACACACTGCACCTTTGGTGAGGGTGATGGTTAAGATCATGAGAGTTAGCATCAGCATCATCATCAGCAGCAGCATCATCATCAGCAGCAGCCCCATCGTAATGATCAGTGCCATTAGAAGCAACAGCATCATCATCAGTAGCATCATCGCCAGCAGCATCAGCAGTATCAACATTATCATCAGCAGCAGTATCAATATCATCATCAGTCGCATCATTATCATCAGTAGCATCATCATCAGCAGCAGCAGCAGTATTAACATCGTCATGATGAATCCCACGGAGAACAGGGCCATTAATGAACCCCACGACCATGCCCATTGGAGATGCTCTCCGCCTGATTGTGCGTTCCTTACGTAGTAACTATTTACATCACACGAGACGGGCACCCTGACCCAGGGGTCAAACTCTGCTGGTGGCTACACTGCTGACTCCACTCACCCAGCGCCGTGGAGGCAACAGCAGCAGCTAGGGTTGGTGGATCACACGCGGATGGGCTGTGAAAGTCCCTCCCTACCCATGACTCTGCGAGGAGAAGGCGGTGTGGGATCGAGCGTTTCCCCCTCGCACGCGTGGGTTTTACCCCGGGCGCTCCGGTTTCCCCCCACGCGTATAAAGCGCTCGTCAAATTGACCGGCAACATCTGAGCATGCATGGAGGAGCGCAGAGCTCGGGCAATGGTTGGCTCATCACCACCGCGTGAAGGCAGCAGCTGCAGCAGTAGCTGCTGCTGCTGCTGCCTTCACGCTCGTTTCTGGCTCCTCCTCCTTGCGCCTTAGAGTCGTCCATGCTGCTGATGATGCTGGCAACACCGATGCTACTGCTGTTGCAACTGCGGATGATGATACCCCCCCCCCTCTTTCCTCCCCCCTCCTTCCCACCCACCTCCTCCCTCCTCTTCCCTAACCCGCCCATCCCCCCTACCCCCCCCTCCTCCTCCTCCCCTCTCCCCCGCCCCCCTGCAGGTGCACTACCTGCTGGCGCTCTCCGCCAACTGGGCTGCTGTTGGCGCCCTGCGCCGCCTGGGCCACGAGGAGCTGCGCGCCCGCGAGCAGCAGCAGCAGCAGGAGCCACGAGAGGTGGAGTCGGCACGCTCCAAGGAGCGACTCAACGCCTACGCCTAGACCCACCCCCCTCTCTCGCCACGCCCCCCTCTCTCTCGCCACGCCCCCCTCGCCACGCCCCCGCTCGCCATCCCCCTCGCCACGCCCCCCATCGCCACGCCCCCTCGCCAGGCCGACCCTCACCACGCCTCCCTCGCCACGCCCCCCTCGCCACGCCCCCGCTCGCCACCCCCCTCGCCACGCCCCCTCGCCAGGCCCCCCTCGCCACGCCCCCTCGCCACGCCCCCACTCGCCCTGCCCCTGCTAGCCACGCCCCCTCGCCCCGCCCCCCTCGCCCCGCCCACCCTCGCCACCCCCCCCTAGCCCCCCCCCTCACCATCTCCCCTCGCCACCCACCCCCCTGATCCACAGACCGTTCTTGTCGACCTTCGACCTTCTAAACTAAACTTTTGTTGATATTTGACCAGGTAAGGCCCCCCCCCCATTCTGAGCTATGTCGCGACCCTGGCCACCACAAATGACAGCTCACAACGAAGTGGGCGGCTTCATCGTCATCATGGTCGTCATCATGGTCGTCACCATCGTCGTCATCGTCGTCGTAAACACGTGGGGATTCATAGCAGCAGCCAAAAACTCTTAAACGCGTGACGTTGATTCTAAACATGGAGGGGGAAACCGGAGGACCCGGAGAGAAATCCACGCGACCACCCCATCACCCCCACCATCCACCTCATCAGCCACCCACCAACCCAACCATCCACCCACTCAGCCACCCACCAACCCAACCATCCACCCACCAACCCAACCATACACCCAGTCAGCCACCCACCAACCCGCCCGACCACCCACTCAGCCACCCACCAACCCAACCATCTACCCATTCAGCCACCCACCAACACAACCATCCACCCAGTCAGCCACCCACCAACCCAACCATCTACCCACTCAGCCACCCACCAACCCAACCATCTACCCACTCAGCCACCCACCAACCCAACCATCTACCCACTCAGCCACCCACCAACCCAACCATTTACCCACTCAGCTGCCCCACCAACCCAACCAACCACCCACTCAGCCACCCACCCACCCACCAACCCAACCATCTACCCACTCATCCACCCACACCAACCCAACCATCTACCCACTCAGCCACCCACCTAACCACCCACCCACGTAGCTACCCACTCAGCCACCCACCTAACCACCCACCCAACCACTCATCCACCCACCCACGTGCCTCACCACAACTGTGACCTCTGACCCACCATGTGTGTGACTCATCGGACACAGGTAGATGGATTTCCATCTCCAGCTGGGGTCCAGGTCAAAAGCAGCCCTGAAATTATTAATTAACCCCCCGCCCCGCTGGATAATTATCTATAAGATGCCATCGTCCTCATCACCCCATCGCTTCCACACCCACCCCTCCAGGAACCCCCGCCCCCCCCCCCCCCCATTGGGAATTTGCCACTAGCTCAGGTTGTGTCAAATGAGAAGAGGTCAGTCAGGTCAAGCAATTTTGGGTGGTGGTTGGTGGTGGTGGTGGGTGGTGGTTGGTGGTGTTGGTTGGTGGTGGTGGATGGTGGTGGGTGGTTGTTGTTGTGTGTTGCTGTCGGTGGCTCTTCACGTCTCAGTGACGGCGTCCGCGGATTTTTCACTCTCGGGATGATTCCTCCACCCCACCCTCCCTGCCCCCCGATTTTACCCGGGGCCGCGAGACTAACCGACAGGTGAAATCTCCCGGCTCGCGGATTGGCTACAGCTCAGATCCCCGCCTTTGCCCCCCCCGCCCCCCCCGTTAATGTGAACCAATCGCAGCGCGGGAGCGGTGCCAGGGGGCGGTGGCAGGGGGGGGGAGATTCAGCCACGACGCAAACCCCGCCCCGTGTGAACCGAGCCAACCAATCGGGGCTTCGAACTGACCGAACCAATCGCAGCGTGAGGGCAGGGCGAAGCTTATCACTGGCCACGGCGGAGTGATGTCACGATGCCAGCCCCCACGAATGGATGAAGCTGGCCAATCAGGAATGGACGAATCCAGCCAAGCAGGGTTCTGATCCATTTGGCACATACACATATACATACACGTGTGTGTATGCGTGTGTATATGTATGATAGCTGGTTCTGTAGCATTGACTGGCTTTGCTTTCCATCGGAACAGGATGGAATATTCGCCAGAAACCTATGTGAATCACGACCCAGGGTGTGTGTGTGTCTGTATGTAAGTGTGCGTGTGCATATGAGCATCTCAGTATGTGCGTGGTGTGTGTGTGTGTGCTGGTTAGGTGTGCGTGTGTGTTGAAGGATGTGTCACATTGCGTGCAGGTGCGTGTCTGAGTGTTAGAGTGTGTATCTGTGTGTCTTTGTGTGTCTAGGTGTGTATGAGTGTGTGTGTCCGTGTACCCAATATCAGGGTTCATTCCATGCGATTAAACGTGGAGGGGAATTTACATAACAGGGTTGCTTGTGGTTAAACGGAAGCATTTTATATTACAGGGTTCAGTAAATGTGGTTAAACGGGAGCATTCCTGGTAACAGGTTTCAGTAATGCGGTTAATTGGGAGAATTCCATCCAACAAGGTTCAGCAAATGTGGTTAAACAGGAGCATTCTCTTTAACATAGTTCAGTAAATGCAATTGACCGGGAGCATTCCATCGAACAGAGTTTAGTAAATGTGGTTAAATGTGAGAATTCCCAATAACAGGGTTCAGTTAATGTGGATAAACGGGAGCATTCCAGATAACAGGGTTTTGTAAATCTGATTAAACGGAAGCATTCCAGATAACAGGATTATGTAAACGTGATTGAACGGGAGCATTCTAGATAACAGGGTTCAGTAAATCCGGTTAAATGGGAGCATTCCAGATAACAGGATTCAGTAAATGTGGTTAAACGAGAGCATCCAGATACCAGGGTTCAGTAAATCCGTATAAACAGGATCATTCCATTTCAGAGGGTTCAGTAAATGCGGTTAAACGGGAGCATTCCTAACAACAGGTTTTAGTAAATGCTGTTAATCGGGAGCATTCAGATAACAGGGTTCAGTAACTGCGGTCAATCGGGAGCATTCAGATAACAGGGTTCAGTAACTGCGGTCAATCGGGAGCGTTCAGATAACAGGGTTCAGTAAATGCGGTTAAACGTGAGAATTCCAGATAACAGGGTTCAGTAAATGCGGTTAAACATGAGAATTCTAGATAACAGGGTTCAGTAAATGCGGTTAAACGTGAGAATTCCAGATAACAGGGTTCAGTAAATGCGGTTAAACGTGAGAATTCCAGATAACAGGGTTCAGTAAATGCGGTTAAACGTGAGAATTCCAGATAACAGGGTTCGATAAATGCGATGCTATCCGCGCGTTCGGCTGGGTCCACATCTGAGCGAGCGAGTTGCCTCTCAGGGTCGAGAGGGACGCCACCACGTGACACTCTCGCGCAATAGGGCCTCTGGCCTCTCAGTTCGTGCGCTATGAAGAAGGGCCATTGCCCGAAACGTCGCCTATCACGCATGGCTGTTGTCCCCCCCCCCCCCCTCCTTTTGAGGTCACAAGCACACACACACACACAGTGTTGTTATTGTTATCGACGCGGAAGGCGCTGGGGTCGTCTTGGCGTGTACTCACGACGCGCCACACGGGTTAATATTGGGCAACTGGCGGCCACTGGGTTGTTACGATCCTGATGAGCAGAAGGGATGGGGTGGGGGTGGGTGGGGTGGTATGTGGGGGTGGCCTGGCGGTGGGGGTGAAGTGGGAGTGGGGGCGGTGCTACCCAGGGAAGGGGCGGAGCCAGAGCCCCATCCATCCATACACGCCCCCTTGATGTTTTGCGCAACTGCTCGCACAGATGTGGACAAAGCGGTGGGGGTAGCGGAGGCGCGGACGCCGGGTTTGGAGTCGTTCTCGCCGACCTCCGCACAGTGTCCCCGTTTGTACAGTGCTAGTTTTTAAACTCCCCCTCCCAAGCTGCCCCCTGCTCCCTTCTCCGTCGTTCTCCCACCTCCTCCTCTTTCACCTCGTCTCTCCCTCCTCCTGTCCCACCTTTTTTCTCCACTTCCTTCTCCCTCCCTCTTTCTCTCCTCATCTTTCTGTCTTCTCATCCTGCTCCTGCTCCTCCTCCTCCTCCTCCTCCACCCTTTTGGTGGTGAAACTTCCACTTGGAAGCAGCGGTGGTGCTGGCCCTGTGAGGCAGGGGGTCCCCTAGTCAGGCAACCAAGCCCCCCCCCCTCCCTCCCCTCTCCTAGCGAGATAACTGAAGAGCCGTAGGCGAGACACAGAGAGGTCGTGAAATGCGTGAGGTTAGACCAGAGATGGAGGTGAGAGACGGGTGAATCGGCGTGTCCGTGTCAAATTGATCTCGTTACGTTTATTAGAATTAGAATTTTGTCCCGATATTTTAGTCGCTTGTTTTTATGGTGGAGTGTGGGGGGCAGGGTAGGGAAGTGGGAGGGGGGGGGGGTCTCCCTTGAGTTACTTGGGACCCCAACGCTTTCGCTGGGGTTGCTTGCGCCCAGCATCACCGCTGTTTTGTGATCCATTTGGAATCGTTTCCGCCTGGAATCCGTCCGGACACTCTTTATTGCTCCGGTTGCGCGGTTCTGTTTCTTACGAAAACTAAACAAACAAGCTGTGTTTGAAAAAAAAAGGAATCGCGATTTAAAAAAAAACGTACGGATGTTGTCATTGATTAGACGAGGTAGCGTACGCGGTTGTGCCTGTTTATATTTTAAGAATAATGCTCGTTCGGGGCCCAGGGGGGGCAGGGGCGGTCGCGGTCCGCGGTGGGAACGTGGGTGGCTCCGGACAGGGCCCGAGATTGGATTTTGTACAACAGGACGCGGAATGCAGAGCGCAAGGACGCCTTAGGACCCGCCGCGGATTTGTCGTAAGTTCATAAGCTACGGATGTCGCGACGTTTCTGCATCGTAAAGCCAGCAGAGATCTTCGAAGCGGTCAGGACCACTCGCACGTCAATTGTAACTAAATAGCCATTCATAGCACGACGTAATGAAATGAGATTCATAATTCGCAACATTCATAACGAATATCATCAACGTTGATGACGTGAATATACCACAGCTGTTGACCGACGGCCATGTTGCATGGGGGGCGTCATGGTGGCCATGTTGCCTGAG